CTGCTCCAGTGGCACAATGTGATCCACCAGCAAGGAGGGACGCCAATAAGGCGTCCAATAAGATAACTCTTATAAAATATATAGATTTATGATAATTAAGACTGAGCTAGCAAATGAGAATCCTAGTCATTGGCCAAGCAGCATTGTAACTAATACAAGTTTCTATGTATTCATTTGGGCCTAACTTGGGCCGGTGGCTAGTCTAAAGCTCACATGTGGCAGTTGGGCTCGGGTGGCTTTTGGCAGAAAGATTTGTGGTAACAAGTATCTCTGGTAGAACAAAGTCCTCTGGATGGGTATTCAGGAGTGGTTTAGCTGGATATTATGGTATCTCTGTCTTTAGTGTTGTTTTTTGTTTGTTTGCCTTATTTGTTTTTTGAGAAACATGCACACTGATTTCTATACTGGCTGCACCAGTTCATCATAGTGAGTATGTATTCCTTCCCCCTATGTCCTCAGTAGCATTTATTTGTCATTTGTTTTCTTTCTCTTTTTTATATATTTATTTTTTGAATCATTATTTTATTAATGATATACATTCTGGTTTGAAGAAGGAATTTCAAAGCAAATTTAATCAGTATTTCTATGAAGTCCAAGGTTGTTGAACATCTTTGTAAATATTTAATAGCTAGTTAAATTTATTCTTCTATGAACTGTCTACTCAGTTCATTGTTCCATTTACTGAGAGTTTCGTTGTTGTGTGCTTACTTTTCACAATTTTTATATAATCTAGATATTAACCCCTTGTCTGAAGTATAATTTTCAGATTTTTTTCCATTCTGTAAGTCTGTTCATTCTTCTAAGTCCTGTGTAGTACTTTTTAATTTCTTGAGAGACCATGAGTCAATTCTTGGGCTATTTCCTGTGCTGTTGACACTCTGTCCACAATGCCCTTGCCTGCCACTATGCCTTGAAGCATGTTCCTTGTGCTTTCCTCTAGCAGTTTCAGTGTTTTCAGATCTGAAACTAAAATCTTTGTCCAATTCATAATGCAGTCTCTATAGAGAAGAAATACAGGTATGGGCCTGCATTACCAGTAGAGGCCAGGAAAAAACACTGCCATGAGAAACCTTCATTGCAAAAATCTAAGTCAAAAAGAAAGAGAACTCTATGAAATCTAAAGCCAAATTGATTTTTGTGCAAGGCAAGAAAGATGAATTTGATTTCATTCTTCCAAAAGTGGGTATCCAGTCTTGCTAGAGCCATTTGTTGAAAGGCTACTTGGGAAAAGAATTTCTGCTTTTGGTTACACAGAAAATGGAAAACTATGGATTCCTTCCAGACTAATATGGTTTGATCAAGCAATACCCCCTTAAACAGTGGCCCAACTGATCCTACATACAAAACAGCTGAGATGATGCAGTCATAGACTACCACTGCCAGGATTTCTGTGTTTTATCATGATCCCTATGGTATGGACATCGCCTCCAACCAGCAGGAAGCAGTTTGGAATGATGACCAAATTTCCAAATGTTGTTTATAATATTTGTTTTCATTTAAATGGGGTTGGTTTTAAATGGTAAGGATCACAGTCAATCTCTTTTTAAAGGAAAAACAGGGAATAGGATATAGAAATGAATACATTGGTATGGTTTTCATTTCTTATACAAATTTAAGGTTAATTTTGTTATATGTAAATTTCTCTTGTGTGGTATTGTGTTTATACAGATCTTTTAAATTGTAATGCATAATTAAATACAGATTATATAGTCACCTATAATAGTCTGAACTCATAATTAGGCTAGTTAGGTTTTCTAGCTCTACAGAGATGTATTTGAGATGGATAGATATTCTTCAAACCTTTCAAAGACCTACAGAATACTTGGAATTTAAATGGTTTAAGGTTTTTCATGATAGTGAGACACATCTGCTCCTGGCACACCAATTATGACAGAAAGGAGGATGTGCATTAAAGAAACTCAATATGGAGTTTGCTTTCAACATGGCAAGATTAGCCATTTGGCCAAGAAACTGCTCTTGCCTGGACTGTTTGTTGCTGTATAAACTGGATATGCAGGACCCACAAGAAAGTGACTGCTGAACTTATAAAAAAAGATGAACAGTCCTGAAGGGTTCCTACTTCATGGAGGAGTCTGCCAGACACACTATGGCCTATAGGCTGAAGAAGGATGCCCAACATTCCAGCGGAACTTTGAGTGACTGTCCAGGTAGTGAGATGTCTCTGTCAGTTCTAGAGATAATATATTATCCTTCTGTGGTCTTTGATGGAGTTGAAGTCAGATAGTTATGGTTATAGTTCTCTTTAGTTATTATAAAAGGTAAGCTACATATAAGATCTTAGACTCACAAAGATAGGATATATGATAGAATATTTTCTTTAAAATCTTGCTAAATGTTAATGAACTAAATATTATAACTATAGTTTTTACTTGATAACTGTTTTGTTATATATTTTACTATGTTAATGGTAAAACCCTTCATTTTATTTAGACAGAAAAGAGGAGATGATGGGTCAAGTCCTTCTGTGTATGTTTATCTTATTGGTTGTTGAATAAAGTACTGTTGGTCAATGAGGAAGCAAGTTAGGCAGGACTAGGAGTCAAGGAGGATTCTGGGAAATGTAATGAAGATAAGTCTTGTGATCCAGGCAGGAAGTGAAATAGCAGGCAGACTCAGAATATAAGCAAGGACAAGCAGGAAATCTCTCTCTTCCTCTTCCTCCTCTTCTCTGCGGATCCACCATATGATCCGCTGGCAAGAGGGGACACATACAGCTGGCATCCTCAATAAGATAAGTCTTACAAAATATATAGATTAATGATTATGGTTGATAATTAAGACTGAGCTAACAGATAAGAAATCCTAGTCATTGGCCAGCAGCATTGTACCTAATATAAGTCTCTGTGTTTTATTTTGACTACCTATGTGGCAGCAGGGCTCATGTGGCTTGGAGGAAAGATTTATTGTTACAAAAGGAGATCAAGGTGATAATTGAAAATGAAGTCAAAGTATCTTTATTTGCAGTTGATATGATAGGAAATATAAGTGACCCCCTCCAAAAACGTCCCCCAGGGAACTTCTACAGCTGATAAACATTTTCAGCAAAGTAGCTTAAAATGGGACCTTTTGAAACTGAAAGCTTCTGTACAAAAACAGACAGCATCATTGGGACAAAGTGGAGTTCTATAGAATGAGAAAAATAATTTACCAACTATACATCTCATAAAGGTCTAATATCCGAAATTAAAATCTAAAAAACCTAGACATCAAAAATTTAATAAATAATCCAATTGAAAACTGGGGTACAGATATAAACAAAGCATTCTCAAAAGAGGAAACTCAAAGGCTGATGAACACTTAATTAATTGGTGAACAACCTGAGTTATTAATGTAAATAAAATGAAATGTAAGTCAAAACTACTCTGAGATTTCATCTTACACTCATCAGAATGGCTAAGGTCAATAAAAGAATTGACAATTCATGCTGGTGAAGATGTGGAGTAAGGGAAACACTCCTCCATTGCTGGTAGGAATGCAAACTTGTACAACCACGATGGAAATCAATATGGTAGTTTCTCAGAAGATTGGGAATCAATATAACTCTAGATCCAGCTATACTACTCTTGGACATACACCCAAAGGACATATCATACTGCCACAGAGACACTTGCTAAACAGTGTTCATTGTTGCTCTATTTTTAATATACAGAAATTGGAAATAACCTAGATGTCCCTCAACAGAAGAATGTATAAAGAAAGTGTGGTTAATTTACACAATGGAATATTACTCAACTCTTAGAAAAAATGACATCATAAGGTTTTCAGGCAAATGGATTTAACTAGGAAAATCATCCTTAATGAGGTAACCCAGACTCAGAAACATAAAGTTGGCATTTATTCATTTATATCTGTTTATTAGCCATTAAATAAATGAAAACCAAGCTACAATGAATAGTCCCAGAGAGGTTAGGTAAAGAGGAAAGGACTTGGGAATACATAGAAGTCTCCTTAGGAAAATTAAATAAAATAGGTAGCTGTGGTTGGGTGGGGAGAACTGTAACAGAAGTATCAAGCAGAGGAAAGAAAGGAACAGGGGAGGGACTATGGGGAGAGACAGGTAAAATTAAGCCAGTAAAATTTGTGGTAGTATGGAAACCTAATGTAGTATAAGTTTCCTAAACTATATACCTCTATGAAGGAGACCTAAGTGAAATTAGCAAATAATGTGAAAGGCAGAGTCCCAGTTGGATATTTCTTGTCACAAAATAATGCTTACTGCATGAGGATTATGTTACAACTAATTGAGTTGTTTGCCAAAGGGGCCCCATGAGAACCCCCAAACAACTCAGGTTGTTTCTAAGCCTATATGTTACTCTAAGATCAAGGGGTCATTGCTGAAGACAACACCTATACAATTCACTGAGGATATGCTAGTGCAATGGTAGCACAAAGCTTATGGGAATAACCAATGAATATCTGATTGGACTTAAGGCCGACTCCATGAGATGGAACGATACCTGACAATGCTCATGTGACCTGAGACTAGATAGCTCAGTGACCTAGGATACATACATACATACATATATATATACATTCTAAGTAATAATGTAACAATAAAATGACTACTAGTGATATTCTGTATTCTATGAAGAGCACTGCCTTGCTTAGAAATCATTAAAGAAGTATCTACTGCATGCCTAGCAGTAGATGTCCAACAGAAACAAACCCAGTGGCATCACTGGAAGTTCCTTGTCTCAATGTGATATCAGGGTTTTTAATTTAATTTTTTATTCTTATTTATATATGGTTTCTCTTTTTACCCTACAGATCCTTTGCATATGCATTATGGCTTCTGGTTTAATTCTTTTATGATGGGGGAAGTGCTTCTGTATATGTGTTTGTCTTACTGGATGATAAATAAAGTACTGTTTGGCCAATGAGGCAGCAAGTTAGCTGGGACTGGGAGTCAAAGAGGATTCTGGGAAATGTAGTAGAGAAGTGGTGATCCAGGCAGGAAGTGACATAGCAAGGAGACTCATATTTAAGCAAGGACAAACAGGAAGTGGTCCCTTTTCCCCTACGCTCTTCCTCCATTGGCACAATGTGACCCACCGGCAAGGAGGGACACCAATGGAAGGTGTCTGATAAGGTAAGTCTTATAAAATATATAGATTTATGATAATTAAGACTGACCTAACAGATGGGAATCCTAGTCATTGGCCAAGCAGCATTTGTACCTAATACAAGTTTCTGTGTATTAATTTGGGCCCTAACTCGGGCAGGTGGCTTGAGTAAAGCGCACACAGGGTGGTGGGGCTCGGCAGCTTTGGGAGAAAGATTTATAGTAACACCTTTATGAGATTCCAGAGTGTGCAAACGAGTAGGCTTCTACATCTATATCTGTTTCATGAGCCATTTCTTGTGCTCTTTTCCTTCTGTTTGATTTGTCCTATTCCAATATTTTAGTTTTTTGTTGTATTTTATTTTGTTTTTTTTATGTTTTATTATTTTTATTTTATTCCTTAGAAGCCTATTTGCTTCCTGAGACACAAAAGATTGGAATTGCATTGGAAGTGCAGGGTACTGGAAAGATTAGAGGGAGGGGCCACTATAATCAGGATACAATTACATGAGGAGAAAAAGTTACTTTCATTTTCATGTGCCCATTAACACTGAGGTGACCACTTAATGTTCTCCCCACTCTGAGTGAGAGTGAAACAGAGAAAGAGAGGGAGAGAGAGAAGGAGAGAGAGAGAGAGGGACAGAAGGACAGAGACAGAGGGACAGAGAGAGACAGAGATATAGACAAAAGAAGACAGAGACAGACATCAACTTAGCCACGTAAAACTCATTGCTTTTTCTGAAGCTGCTGTCACTAAAGTACATTATGTTTTATATAAGTCAGTTCTGGATAAATCTTGAATAGCTTAAAAACTCTTTAAATTTATGTTACTTTTAACTGCTTTAGGGAAGTTGGGTTAATTTAGTAACCCCATAAGTTATGTGAAGTCTTTGCAATCCATGGCTTCGGAGTGTGTTTGCCTTTCAAAGTTTCCCCAGCCAATTGGCATTTTTAAACAGTTCCTATGAAATCTATTAGGTACACTTCCTACAGCTTATTACCTAATTTGTATTCTCCTCTGTTGTGGACTCTTTGGTCAATTCATGAAAAAGAGAACCATGTGGTACAACTGCTTTGAATCCAAATATCAATGTGTCTTATTGAAATAAAGAACTACCCTCCCTCACAAAAAAAAACAAAACATGTTTTGTGGTATTAGCTACACAGGTACATTTCTGGAATATGTATTCTATTCCATTTGGTCTATATGGTAATGGGTGAGTTTGCTGGTGATGATAACCTTGTGTGTGTATTATTCAATTCAAACTACACTACAGTGTAGTTTGGGATCAAGTATTATGATTCATCCAACAGCATTTTGTTTTGCATTTCTTTGCATATCCATGGTCTTTTGTGTTTTCATATGAATTTTAGGATTTTTTTCTGGTTTTGTGATGAATGTTCCTAGAATGTGTATGGGGATTACATTGAATCTGTAGGTTTCTTTTTGTAATATAGACATTTTCACAAAATTAATTTTGACAGTACAGGGATGATTCCTATTTGTGTCTTTATTCTTGGAAGAAGAATAAAGGAACAAAATGATCAAAGAAAATCAAAGCAAGAATGATAAGAGTTTTTTATATTAAAATCACATCCATATAAATAACATATCTAGAAGTAACAAAGATGGTGACCACATCAACTTTAAATGATGTATAGTAATGGAGAATTTATGTCCAATACATGTTTAATTATTTATGTGCTAATAATAACACTGTGATACACCACTTTAGAGGTGTAAAATGTCAGAGGTGTAAACCAAAGTCCTCAAATGTCCTAAATGGGCAGGCCTTCATTTATTCCTTGAACATACTTTTATCTACTGGTACTAATAGTACCCTGAATGGCAAGATTGAAATAGTCTTCGCCTCTGCTTTTATAAACGTCTGTGAATATTCTGATTATTTAAATATTTTACAGCAATTTTTTATTTATATTGATTTTCATAATGCTTAAAATATTCCATCATTAGTGCTATTTTTATTTGATGCAAATATGTTTATATTATCACCATAACTATGTAAATTTTGTCTCATTATTTGCCTAAGATAAACAATTCCTATCATTTTCTATTAAAGGGAAAAGTTATGTCATATTTTCTACACGTGACGCTGAGAAATGCCTTGAGAAAGACAGTCTGTGTTTCAGAGTATTTCTCTTGGCCAAGCCAGAGTTAAAAGAAATAAACTGCCAAGATTAAATATCAGAAAATGCTACATAAGAATATATTGTTTCAATCAGACATTTGTCACTGTGACAAATACCTGACAGAAATAATTTTAAAAACAGAAAAGATTTATTTTGGCTCAGGTTCAGAGTTTTCAGTCCATGATTGCTTGGTTCATGCCTGTGGGTCTAGGGGGAGGTGAAACACCATGGCAATGTAGACAGCAGGACAGAGTAACTAGATCATGGCAACTTGGAAGCAGAGATGAACTGGAAGATGAAAGGTCCAGGGACCAGATGCATCCTTCAGACACACCACCCTTGGGATCTACTACCAAGAGCCAGGGCATACCTCATAATTTAAATCACCTCCCCAATATGCCATCAAATTATAATTCACCAAGAGACTAACATAATCTGTAATGTAGTTATCTCTGAAAGATTGAATCCTCCTGCTAGGAACCAAATCTTCAGCAGAGAAGCCACTTCCTCTTTAAACTATATCACATATATTTCATGTTTTTGTATGTTTATTGAAGGAGTCACCTCTTAGTTATGGTACCTTCCAGTTCATCCTTCTTGCCAGTTTCTATTGCTTTTCCAGTTCTGAAGTTGGAAAGCCATATGACCTCTGTGGGTTGACATTAGAGTGGTTTTGTGAGATTTTCTTTGTTTCTTTCCTTTGCTCTACCTGTTTTCTCTTTCATGTCTCCCTACTTTCCCTTTGAATCTTGCTCTGTCTTCCTGTCACTATCTTGCTTTTTTGATTGAGTCTGCCTTCCTCCATTATGTTGTGTGTGACACAAAACATATGTTTGTCTATACAATATATGTCACTATGCCTCAAAAAATCATCTATCTGGATTTAAGCAAACACAATACAGTGTTTTTGTTGTTGTTTTTTAATTGCCTTTTGGATCTCTTTGCAAAAGCCTTGTGAAGGTAACACTGTTGGATTTTTGGCATCCAAAATACATTCATATTGAATTCACATTCAAGTAAAGAATCTCAAAGCTGATGCTGTGGTCTCATCACAGCTGGAATTCCTTAAAAACCACCTGCAGACTCAACATCCTTTCACAACCTAGTGGGATGCTTGATGCTTTAGCTAACTGTGAGACTAAACATAAGTCACCCCAGCAGTGCCCCCATGGCTTTGTTCTAATAACTCAGTGGTTACCTTCTATCTTGATCTTCATTCTGACAACTGAGACCCTGCTGCCTTACCTGGCCAGAGCTCCTGGGGACTAATTCAACAGTTTGTCATGCAGCTTGATCCCAAATTCTAGCAGAGTATCTGAAATTGTTACTGGAGTTAGAGTGCATGCTTGCTGTGTTTTAGATGAATCTAGCAGCTGGAATTCTCTCTCACTCCCATTACCTTTACTATGGTTTCTATTCTTCCTCATCTGGCCTGGGCTCATGGTCTCTGCTCTCTAGTGCCAAACTTATTTGTTGAATAGGAACAAATAAGGTGACCGGCCACACTGGAAGTCTGCAAGCTACTTCTGTCAAGTCAATCAATTTCTTTAGGTTGATGCAACTAGTTTGTCCTTTAACAATTTAACAATTTCTTAGTCTTTAAAGACTAAGAAAGATTCAAATATGAGTATATAATTATTTTACATTGTTATTATATACTATAATATTCATAAACAAAAAGTTATTATATTCATACTTTATAATCCTTTTATTCTTTCAGTTGCCATGAAGAGCCACACTGTTTATCTTAACAATATACTTTATCATGAAAATTTCCAACTGGCAAATAAAAATTTTACATTTTTATGAGGAGAGGAGCATGTGATATCCTGACATGTATATATAGAATAATATTCAAATCCAGCTAAGCATATTTACATTTTTGAACAAAACACTCAAAAATCCTTTATTCCAGCATTTAATAATCTGTAGTACATCATTATCTCTATAATTATACTCTTCAAAAATTGAGCCTTGAGCCAGGCAATGGTTGCACATGCCTTTAATGCCTTTAATCTCAGCCCTTGAAGGCAGAGAAAAGCAGATTCCTGTGAGTTGGAGGCCACCTGGTCTACAGAGCAAGTTCTAGGACAACAAGAGCTATTAAACAGAGAAACTCTGTATTGGAAAAAAATATATGTAATATAATTATATTACATATTATTTTTCATGTTTAATTTCTCCCATAAGCCATTTTCAGTCCTTAGTATATTGCATATATAGTTTAGTTTTAAAATGTATGAATTTTTTAATCAACCCTTATTATCAGAAAGTAAGGCAAACTTTCACTGGGTAAAAGTAGAGGCTTATGGCTTCATCTAGTAAAGGCGTGTAGCTTCATCATTTATAGATAATTCTCTGGGTCAATACCCTTCCTCATATCTGTGTATATAGGCCTTGATTTTCTTGATCTCCATGATCTACTCTTATCTCCTCACCACAGCCTGGTTGCTTTTAACAGTCGTAGACTATTCACTAAATAATTATGGGTTACACCCTTTAAAACTTCTGTGTGATAATTTCTGCATCAATAAAATATAAATGTTTCAGGTAGATATTCTAGGAGCCATAACTAGATATTTGCATCATAAAAGCATTAAACTTCCTAGCTCCATGCTCTCCCATGAAAAAATGTCTGCAGAATTCCAAAGGGAAATTTTGACAAACATTAAACTATTGCAAATACACACAAAAGAATTCAGCCAGAACTTAATTTTTTTTATTTGCTAGCAGACATTTGTCAATGTCTGGAATGATTTGATGGTCAGACTTGGACCAAGGAGGTAGATTCCACTTTCTTTCCCAAAGGGTGAGTGTAGTTCAACACTCTATGATGCACAGAATAAGCCTTCAACAAAAACTATTGACCCAATATA